AGAGAACACCCTGTCACAGGCAGTCAAAAAAAACTAACAATGTTAGGAACCATTGGGAAAGGGACAGATGAGAGACAGAAAATATCCCAGTGCCACGAAATATATCCATGGTACGCGCACCTCTTGAATGCTACGTGCAGATCTGCTCACCCCATCTCAGCAAAGGTGACAAGGAATATGAGAAAACTAACTGTTTGCCGTAGAAAAGAGAAGAGGGGGGATGTGCTAGAGGTGATAAATGGTATGGAGAAAGTGAAGAGGAGAATGCCTCTTTTTCAAATAACCCTGAAATCAGGGGTTCAGTGACATTAATGAAAGTGAATAGGCAGCAGATATAAAACAAACCACCTCCCACAATGGCGCTCCTTGGCAGAGAATATTCTTAAGGCCAAAAGTATAACGAGGTTCAAAAAGGAAGTAGAAGAGTTTGTGGAGGACAAGTCCCGTTGATGGCTATTAAGCCAAGATGGACAGAGGTGTGACCATACGCTCCAGATAGCCCTAAACTTGTGACTTCCAGGAAGAGAGGCCAGGATGACAGGAGCTGGGTAACTTGATACTTGCCCGGTTTGTTTCCCCTGCAGCCCCTGGCTGCTGACAGAAGATGGGACACTGGGCTAGATGGACTGTTGGCGTGACCCCATCTTCCCTTTCGTATGTTACAAGTTTGAATAGCCTGGGGAGATGGGATTAGGGAATGGGGAGGTCTAGCAATTGCTAGATCTGCAGACAGGTGGTGTGTATGAAGAGATGGGTATCAAGGATGATGTCAGGCCTACAAGGAAGGAAAGTGAGAGGAAATCTGAACTGAGAAGAGTTAAGAGTAAATAATAGTGTTGATCTGTTAAGAGACTCCGGAACTGTTCTTCGAATTTCCCGATAGGCGGGATATTTTGCCCAAGTTTGTTTTGCCCATAGAAGGGTGACTTTATTACCTTAAATGAGTTCATGTTGCGTTTGCCATGTGGCGAATGAATTCAAATCCAGTAGTGCCTGTATGGCCTGGGATGGATCGTCTAACCCCATGGTCACCAACCAGTAGATCGCGATCTACCGGTAGATCTCAGGGACTCTAAGAGTAGCTCTTGAGCCCTCTCTGTGCACCTGCGCAGTATATTTACATTAGATTTCCTCATGTAATGTAGGCGGGGCAGTAGATCTTTGCCTGTTCTGAGACATAAAAAGTGATCTTGGGTGTAAAAAGGTTGGAGACCACTGGACCAGTATCCCATTCCCAGAAACTAAGTTCGTGGCCTGGGAAAGAGCTTCTGCCTTCTTCCTGTGAATGCTTGTGTTTCCAAAAACCTCAGTGACGTCTCTTGAGGAAGCTCCAAATACATCTTGCGCTGCAGCCTCTGTTAACCTGTTGTGCTTGGAGTTTTTTGCTTGTGTCTGCATCCGAAGGGATATCATGGGTGGGAGTGGAGGTGGCTTCTCCAGCCAGATGAACCTGACTCTCTCTCGTCATTAGATTTCTCCAGAGGAACTGACGCTAGTCCACAATCTGAGGAAGATGGTGATGAATGACTGGGTAAGTGCACCATTTAAAGAGCTAAAGGCTCACCCCTTCACAGGGGCTTCTTCCTGGGGAATTTAGGGAGGGTGAAATTTTACGCTTTGTGGACAGGCGTGTGGTGGGGAAAGCTTGTAAAGAATGGGGTGGAGAGATGTTTCAGTTGACAGCTGTTGAAATAATCTCGGCAGCATCACAGATGCCACACTTGATTGCCTGCGAGTGCCGACGTCTATTGATTTGTGCTGAATGGCTCGTCGGGACCGGGTCTGGAATGTCTGGGGACCCACCAGAGCCTCTATTCAGATTCAGTACAGTGCCACCTAGTGAAAATGCTGTCGGTTCCCGCTTCTCCCAGCAGAGGTCTTGTGCTACTTCATTCCCACGAGGGACGTAAGTGACTAATCGACTATCTGATAAGCAAAAGCTTATCGGATAGTCAACGCACTAGTCGATTAGTCGCTTCCTCCCCCCCTTGCTGCCTCTATCAGACAGAGAGTGCTGGGGGGAGCCAGCTTAAAAGCCAGGGGCAGGGGCGCAGCAGCAGCTTTCCAATTTTGAAATGTACAAGAGTCCCAAAGCAGAAGCATGGAGCCTGGGCCAGTGGCGGACTCTGCGTTCCCCACTGGCCCCAAGCTCCATGTGGCGTTTCAATGTTACTTTTTTAAAGGTGGAACACCGTGCTAGTCCTTATCAACTAATTGAATAGTCGATGGCAATCCCATCGACAATTTGATTAGTTAATTCATCGAAATTCAACATCCCTAATTCCCACCCTGAAATCTGTGATCAGTGCTGCTGTCCCATTCCCTTCAACACTCTGGGGGAAAGCTAGGTCTGGCATAGGGAAGAGCTGCCCAATGCTTCGGCGTTGCTTTCTGCACTGCATCCTGCTGGGGCTACAGGCCTTGGGTGCTGGTCCCAGCTAGGCTGCTGCTGTGTTCCTCACGCTGTCTTGAGGAGCTGGGATGGAAGGTAACTCCAGGAGCCGGAAGGAAAAGGCAGGGCGATCTCACAGGAGACGGTTAACGAGTCTGCAGGGACGAGTCTCCAGAGGCTCCTTCTAATCCATCTCTGTGTTTCAGAATGGAGGTGCCATTGTGACTACCCTTAGCCAGACGGGCTCTCTCTTCAAACCACGTTCTGCTTATCTGCCCCACGAACTGCTGGGAAAGGTGAGTTCTAGCCTCCTCTGCATTGGTAGCTGCAAAGCAGTGGCCCTACCTCCCGGGAGGCGCGGCGGGCTGGATCCACCGCTCCCGGAGTTGTGCTCTGTGCAGTCATTCTTGCATGTTGTCCCTGGGCTTGGCTCAGTCGCCCGATTACCACATGGCTACCAGCCGCCATCTCTTACGCGTTGCCTCTACGCACGGTTCATCTGACTTTGTCAGTCTCGTTCTTCAGCTTGGCCTGCAAGCGAGAGGGGTGGGGGGACTTGCTTTCAAACGTAGTGAAATAGGTTGTCCAGCCCAGTCTGCCCCGGGGCGCCTGCACCAATAACCCAAGTATCTCGGAGCTCACTCACCGACTCTCTGTGCTGTAGTTGCCTCCCTGGGTTACACGAACCATAGAGCTATTCTTTTTTTGAAGCAGTCCTACTTGAGCTTGCTCCAGCGAGGCTGCGCCTGGTCCCTCTGCAGCACAGACCGTCCTCCCCTTCGTCTCCAGACTGGCTGAGCGTGTCTGTCTGTTTCACTTTTCCCTTCCAGGAGGGTTTCGACACACTGGACCCTTTCGTTCCCATCCAGGTTCCCAACTACAGCCAGCGAGAATTTGAGAGCTGTTACCAGTATTATCTTGACCGCAAGTGGCTTCAACATGAGAAAGGTGAGTTCTCCCCACTCACAAACACACCCACCCACCCGCTGGTGGAGGAACAAAGACAGTCACATACAGTCAGTACTTTCAGTTCCCATTTCACTCGTAGGCTTGAAAAAGACCTCAGGAGGCCATCGAGTCCAGCCCTCTGCCCAAAACAGGACCAACCCCAACTAAATCATCCCAGCCAGGGCTTTGTCAAGCTGAGACTTAAAAACCTCTAGGGATGGAGATTCCACCCCCTCCTTAGGGGACCCATCCCAGTGCTTCCCCACCCTCCTAGTGAAGTAGTTTTTCCTAATATCCAACTTAGACCTTCTCCACTGCAACTTGAGACCATTGCTCCTCATTCTGTCATCTGCCACAACTCAGAACAGCTGGGTGTGAACAAGCTGTGTTTGCACATGGCTAAATTGAAGCATCTGGCAAGGAAGAATGGAGGCCATACTTGCAGGGTTGGGGACTCAGTCTTGGAAAAGGGTGACTGAAAAAGATTTCCGGGTTGTAGTGGACAGTCAGCTGAACATGAGCTCACATTACAATGCTGTGACTAACAGCTCTAGTACAATCTTGGGCTCTTGAGCAGGAGTAGCAATGTTATTTTACCTCTGTATTTGGCACTGGTGTGACGGCTGAATTCCAGGAGGATGTTGATGAATGTTCAGAGAAGGGCCACGTGAACCATTACAAGATTACTAAATGTAACTTACAGTGATGGCTTCTAGGTGCTCAGTCTATTTCAGTTGTGAAATAAAAGGTTAAGAGGTGACTTGATTCATCTAGAAACTCTTCAGATAAAAGTAAAATATGATCTAATGTCTAGAAGTTAGGCAAATTCAAACCAGCTAGGAGGAGCAAATGTGAGAGTAATTTTGAAGCCCTGCCTTGGGGGTTGCGGGGAGGGAGGGAGCTGTGCTATACAGGGCAGCAGACTGGATGATGGCAATGGTCCCTGCAGGCCCAAGAATGGAGGAGCGCACGATAAAGCTGTCAAGGCCAGTAGGCTCGGGCCACAATTGGGAATGGGCTGCTGACGGTTCCTTTCCCCGGTGTGTTTCAGTCGGTACAGAAGAAGGGAGGGAAGAGCTGCTCTTCCTCAGCAACTCCAACCCCTGGCAGCTGGAGCGGATCTCTGCTTCCCTGTGACACCCCCATGGCACGGGCATGGGTGGCACCTCTGTCTTTTACCTCTCCGCTGTGCGGGGTGGGGGCACCAGGCCCGTCTGCCTGGCAGAAACGTGGAAACAGCTGCAGCGACTAATAAAATGGAAACTGGTG